AATTGAAATACCAGGCAACGGTGCTCAAATTCATTTTTTGTGATTTCGCATGTTGTACTAAATTCAGATTTATTTACGCAATTTTTGGTAGAATTCTGTAATTTCTTTTTGTAGTGATTAAAGATTGGTCTAATTGTAGTATATCACTCCTCTTTTCTATCCATGGAATCAAAATAGTTTTAATTTTAAAATTCAATCCTTCAATTTTCTTGCTGTGCACTTCCACAATTTCATTTAATAATAGCAATTCATTCACGATTGCTAAATATACTACACTTATTGCAAGTATTATACTTTTATTGCATTGTACAATATTCTCTGTTGTAGAGTTATACTGAATAGGGCTGTGTTTGCGCACATGTTGTTAAATTTCTCATATTAGTAGTTTTAGTTTGCCCGAGAATTGTGAATCAAATTTAGATTCAGATTTTGAATCGAATTTGCGTTCTAGTTCGTTCTATTCTATTATAAATGTTGTTACTTGAGCAGTTCGAAAAAATGGATACAAACAGTAGCGTTTTTTTGTTATTTCACCAAGTTTTCCATTTCTGTTTTGTGGCTTATACATGCCAGCGACCAACGTCACCAGGTAAGTTTCTGTTTTTTCTACTTTTTATTAGTTTATACATCATTTGTTATGTGTTATAATATACATAACATTCATCGAACTGAAAATGGCCGATGTTCTTTGACTTAAAATTCCAAACAGTAATCTGTTATATTTTACAGAATTGATTTTTTATTCGTAAATCAGCTTTATTTCAGCCTATATCAAGTTGGTGGCAGCATTTTTAATCACTGCAGCGGTATCAACATTTTTCGCGTTCTTCCTTAATGTATTCGGTTTGCGAGCGCAAGATTTGCATAGGAAATATGTTTTCTATAAATTTGCCACTTATCTTTCTTTATTGGGAGGTAAGTTTTATGTTAACTAATCATTTTATTTGCATAATTGTGTTAGCTCAAATTTATCATTTTGTCAGGAAACATCTTTCAGCACCACTGCGGGTATTTCTTTTTCATTCAAAATATAAAATGGAAAGCGAGAGATTTTGACAAAACAAAATGCTTATGTTTTTTTTTATCCTTAAAGCAGATAGTTTCATAATCTCCTGAAGTGCCCAGTGTAGTATTTCAGTATTCCTACAGCTCGTATCTTTAATCGTGTTTCCTGTTTGTTTTTACGTTGAAATGAAGAATTTCGGTTATCGAAACTGGGAATTCGATTGGTCGTACGGTGTCGCCTGGGGTGCAACACTGTTTGCTTTCGGCGCATCACTGTTGTTGATATGTGATAAAGAACATGAAGAAGTATATTTCAAAGAAAAAACAATATATAATCCGCCACCGGAGCTGAAGTAGTGTTCAGCATACAGACGAAGTTTCTGTAAAATGCATCTGAATGGGTTCTAGGTAGTGATAGCTTAACAGCTGTAGTTGGTATCGAATGATTCAAATCTTTTTTTTGGATTTGAAGAATTTTCAAGTTTTGGAAAATTCAGCTGGAAAATTGATTTTTGGAAACAAAGTTCCAACTCTAGTTAACGATATAAATATCTTTTTGCATGTTTTGATTGAAATAGTACTTTTTAGTTCTCATGTTTATTATTGTTTAATCGGTGAGATTAGTAGAACTCATTGTATACAAATGGTAATAAATTTTATTGAAAAGCTCGTATCTTAATCGTGTTTCCTGTTTCATGCCTTAATTAAGCATATTAAAGTGTTTTGTACGTTGCATCGTGCATTTCTACGTATGATTCAATTTCTGTAAATTTTCATGTCAGTTGAGCTTACTTCTTTTTTAAATTGTTTCACTAGAATAGAGATTATAACAACTTTGAAAGGTACAAAATAGTTTCGAATTAATATTTCCTGAAGGGATTTAAGTAAACAAATATTGAATTTTCGTCAGAATTATGAGGAACTTCAGCAAAATTTCTTCAGATACTACTTTACAACGGTTATGACAGGAAGTGGTCGGGAAGTAAAAGTTAGAGATTTATGATTGAAAATATAAGCACGGAACTCTTCTTTTTCCTATCCTTTGTTTGATAAAAAATATTTTGAAAAAGCCAGATATTTGCTGTCTTATTAATGCCGTATAAAGGTAATTTCTTGTACACTATTTTTTGATTTGTGATATTGTTTGAATTTGTGATATTAAATTTACAGTCGTTATAAGAGCAGTACCTATTATTGAACAGGCAGCATTTATACATGAAAAATGTCTTCAAGAAATACAGTTACTTTGAAATGAAATGAATGGTCTTCATTTCGGTTTCGGCTTTTTGGATGGTTACACAACAGTTTCTTAAAGTGGTTGTGAGGTGGTTTTATGTATGCTTCAAAAGCATAGAGTACTGGCTTGTTTTCACTGGCTCCGTGTTTTTTCGTGTCCTTGAAATAACTCAGCAGAGTTTCCAGGCATCGAATGATGCTTAAGCAATCTTGAAGGGATGATTTCATGCTTCATGCCTAACTTTCAAACATTTTTGTATTTTTTTTTACTAGCCAAACGTCAGATTTTTGTTATTTGTTTTTCAAAGGGAAACATAAGCGTGAAAATTGATAGTACATATAATGATGTTGGAACTACAGGGACGGGACTGGGAGATCTGTTGGAATTGGAGTTGAGTTTTTCTGCTGTGTGACTGCCTCATTATTTTGACGTAGAAAAAGCTGAAGTAACTGAGACAAATTACACGTAACTGCGCAATACAACGATCCAACATTTTCATAAAGCAATTCTTAAAACTATGTAAGAAAACTTAGCTAAAATGCAGAAGCCGTTAGTTCAAAGAAATTCCAAAAGGAAAATTGGTTCTGTGAAAACTGCAGTTACTTCAACCGTAGATATATGATTAAATTTAAACCACTAGTATGTGATGAAAAAGAAGTCAGACTGAGCTAAAGCAATCACTTAATATTCTGCATCCTGCCATTTTAGCACAATCTCATACCATATGTGTGATCTGAGCAGTATGTGAATATCAATCAGTGATAGATATAGTCACCAGATTATATATATATCATCATTCAATAAGATATAATCACGATGCACAAGTAATTTCGCTTCAACCAATGGAGGATACTTTACTGACATTCAGATAGATCATTTGTAATCGTTAAGTAGTTGGAACAAAATTAGAAAAAAAAGCATAAATTTAAGCTTAAGTAACGGACTTATTACAGAAAAATCATGTCGTTTGTAGGGAAGTCAACTTCTAAATGGCTAAACTAAAAGCCGAGATTTTCATTAAATAAGAGAAGTAATTAAAAAATCATAAGTGATGTGCAGGGTAGTTTTTTTAAACTTATGGGTTTGAAAATTAAAATAAACACTTTCGTAAGGCAGCTGAGCTGTGTTAAAACCTGTTAAGTAATAATGACGAAAATGGTAAATGATAACAGATGAGTTAGGACCAACACCTCTGGCAAAGAGACGAGAGATGTTAAAAACTCCATGAACCAAGCAGGGATCTTGAAGAAGGTTAGACCAGTTCAAACTCCTCACTCAACACTCACCAGCAACAACGAACTAATCAAAAGAGCAGTGTGAAATAGATTTATATCAGCAACGTCATAGATGAACACATTATCTTTTGTCTTCCTAGCCACAATTACCTCAAAATTTCTGAAATACCACTCAAAAAAGTAAAAAAGAATGAAAATCATTTGCAAATTCTTTGAGCCCCATTTCTGCAATACTTTTATTATTTAATCGACTTAGAATTTCGGACTGTGACATTGCAAATAAATCACTAAGACAGTGATAACGACATCTGAATTGCGTTAAAGTGAGAATGAAATGTTGAATAATAAATGACAATCTAATAATGAAGAAATTTAGTAATTAAGAAGACAAAGGACAAGTGGAAAATATGAAAACTAACATATACATCAATATATAGTTGTCGTTTCCTCCTAGAGAAGATTTCAGTGCCTTTGGATTAACCCTCATTAGTAGTGAAACATATAAGACATAATTATGGAATATGGAACCGAGGCATTAACAGCTGCGCTGTTGATGCTATTGGTAATAATTTTTAGTTTGAACACTTTTGTATACTGATATCATTTGCTAACTGCTTGCGCTGAATAGCCTGAAAAGCGTAATTTGAAATTACTGAACCAAAAACACAACCCTGTCGCGATTCTTTGCATTCAAATACTTTCATATAAATTGCTGATTTATCTGAATCAATTACGTGTTAAGTGAAAATTTAATACACAACTTAAACAAAACTCCCAAAAAAAAAAAAATGGAAAACATATGTCAGAAAAATTAATAGCAACTTCAGTAATAAAGACAATGTATAAAATATGTAATATTCACATGAAAAAGTGCATGTATTAATAAATGTAATAATTTCCGAAAGAAGATACGGAAAACGGAGAAGAATTAAAGAAACCTGAGCGATACATTATAGATGAGCAAATGTTATATAAAAGACAACTGTAAAAAATGCATAGGATACAATGATATTAGAAAAATGGTTTCTTGACAAAAAGAGACAAGAAAAAGAACTAAAAAAAGATAGATATGAAAAAGTTGGACAACCTAATGACACTGATGGTAACGATGAAGAAAAAAGAGACCGTAAATGCAATATTTTGAAGAAAGTAAATAGAGAGACAGAGCAACAGAAAATGCACAAAAATTATATTAAGAATTACAATTAAGTATACAAAATACTTGTAGTGAATAAAGAAGTTTACTCAATCCTCGAATAATAATTACTAATGACTAGTAATAATAATAATAATAATAATAATAATAATAATAATAACGAGGAATGAATTACACATATGCTAAACATATAGTACAAACGAAGTTGTTTTAAATATAGATACAGCAGATATGCACTAAATAAAAATATACAACACTGCAGATGAAAGAAATCTTGACAAAATCCAATATAATTTAGAAATTGTACAAAAAATGAAACCAAGCGATAAATGCAAATAGCAATATCTATTTTTGTGTTAACAACAATTTACTCTTCTCTCCAACCTTCAGCAAATTCAGACCCTTCACATTCTGAAGTCTCATGGAACCATTCTTCCACATTCTCATATATCTTTGCTGGACGATCCTCCAATAATGCTTCACACAACTTGCAGAAATGAAATCTGAAACCATTATCAAGCAAGTACCCACTACAGAACTAGTAACTTTTTTTTAAACGATCCTATTTTTGTAAAAAAATCAAATACGAACCTATACCCAATGTTCTGATATGCTCGAACCCAACCATCACGACGCCATTTGAAATACTCCAAATACGCTGTTTTATTAGACATCAGTGAAATCAAATAATCGGCCATAGCTTGCGCACTTTTAAAATCATCCATAGGTATAAAGGACTGAGGCGGAACTATGCTTAAATTCATTTGAAATTACTTAAAGAAATAAAGAAATAGGCCATAACGCAGTATAACTAGAAATTCATTCGGAAATCTAACAAAAAATTTAATTGATAATATCTAATGTATATCTGTCATGGTAAAATTTCAATAAGCAATAATAAGAATGCGAACCAACTTTTCATACGTTTTCCGCCTCATAACAATAGGAACACTTGGTAGATGGTATCGATCGAAGTACTTCTCCGTAACATAATTCTTACAAACAGTATTTTCAATTGCGATATAAAAGAAATTCATTACACCCAGGTCTTTTTCACATTCAGAAGCTCGCTTACATGCATCACGTTTGTAAGGATTGTCTGCACATGCTCCATATTTATCTACCATTATGTATCTAAAATAATGGTCCTTGAAAATTTATGAATTGATTACCTGCACTCCAATGTTTTTTTTTTCTGAGGCTAAAAGATAGCTCAAACACACTTTACAAATGTTGATTTCAGTAAAATTTTCCCCGTTTCCAATATATATATATATATATATATATCCGTTATTATACAATGATTATGCAATTCAGGAGTAATCGCAAATTAAACTCGAAATCCACGTATAACTGATTGTATTTAATAAAAAAGCAGAATTCTTGCGGGAAATTGAGATTTCCAAATAGTTGGAAAAAGTGATGAGAATTTACTTTCCAAGTTTTTCAACAGCTAACTCTCGTTTCGAAATTGTATTGCAATTCGACACCAACCAAAATATTGCACTAGTTTTATTTTCCAATATTGTTTTTTCATCATAAGGTAGATTTTCGGATTTAATACCAAGTATTTTATTAATTTCGGGACTAATCCAATAACCTCCATAAACCCATGGAACATCTGAATCATGCCGATATGTCATCGTCCAGTTAAAAAAATTACCTGAAACATAAATTAGAAACTAATTACATAAAAGCGATATTAGGAAACGCATAAAAAACGAACAAGGTTAATTGTACTAAACTTTTGCATTACCTTTTTGTCTCAGATGTTACCTTCTTCTAAACAAGTTATTGCATTGGATATGATACTAAGAAAAAACGAACGAGGTGCATGCAAAGCCTTCCTCTGCCATAGTTTATAAGTCGGAGGTGCTTCTACTGTTAAGAAAACATAGCGTTGTGATGGAGACCTCTTTTTTGGTAAATCGCTCAAGCGAAAATCTTCAATCATGAAGTGGAAAATTACAGCATCAGCACTGTCAACCAAAGATCGATCGGTCGTAATCACACACTTATCCTGAATAAATACTCAAAATGTTTCTTGTAATCAATAAAACAAATCCTACTTTATTTCCTATCAATATATATCTGCATCATAACTAACCTGCCCTCGCAATTTTGCAAAATCTTTTCATGAAATGGATGAAATTGTTGCCTACCTTTAAATCAGGGCACTCATTCATCAAATGCAAACGATTTTCTGGTAATTCGCTAAAAAATGTTGTCCACATAAGCATCAACTTTTGTTTCGTCTTTATAGATTGTTGTTGCTCATGTGAATAAATCATAGTCCAGACAGTCTGCTGGCTTACGAAAAATAAATGTGGCACTATTCTCGAAACGATAAAATAGAAAAAACAGATAATAATAACTCCAGTAAAAATTCGAGAACGCAATAGCATCATTCCTAAACCACACAGCCACTGCCAATGCTATAAATTTTTGTACAAAATATATCGCTTTGCTGGCTAAGAACAAGAAAACCCGAAAACCATATGTTAATCTACGCATTCACAAATTGAGAACAAGGCGAGCAATTTCATTTCGTCAACAAAATTAGTTTTTTTTAATAAAAATAAAAACTGCATGCCCTGAAGCAACTAGCTTTAAATTGGTTCTTCACCCAGAAAAGAGTGATTTCTACGTTAGATTTAGCTAATAATTTCTTTAAATTAAACCTTTTTTAGTATCTAAAGTATAAAAAAAATTTGTTAGAGACAAATTATACCACTAAATGATTGCGAATAAAAATTTATTTGCACAATATTTACATTTGTTAATATACTCATCAAGGTTTTTAAGCAAAAATTTCCATGAAACTTTCTTACAAAGCAGACAATACTGTAATAATAATGAACTAAGGTATTTGTATTTCAATAAGCTTTTTTTTCAATTTCAATAATACAATAATATTTCCATAATTTGTATTTCAATAAGCTTTCACTATCAGCGATACTTCATAAAATTTGGTTCTGCTCTAAGGACTTTACTGATTGAGTTGTTATTATCCACAAAATCCCACTGATCATACCTGAAATGACAATGTGCAAAAATGTGAGTGACTACTAAAAAATGTGAAGAGATGATGTAAGACATAAAGTGTGATTATTTATGATGTCATCTAGATCATTTTAGGAGGCAATACGACCTATATTTAGCTTCAGAAATATTTTCATATCACTTAATGGGAGAGTTGAATTTATTTTCGTATATTTTTGGATCTCACATGGCTGAATGGTATATTATATTAAATTATCAGTTTAGAAGGATTTTAAAATTTTTGAACTCAAAATTTAAGAAATCATTAGGTTGTGCTAATAACATATATAAGATCATTTAAAAAGCTAATATTTTGGAGAAATTACTACATACCTTCTATTTAGATCATTATCTTTGTTGTATAAAAAACTTTCTGTAAAATACTGTGCAGGATCTAACAACATATGAAAAGGTTTTTTATCAGAACCAACTGTTATAACAACCGTAAACAAAATTTAAAATTCGGCAAGAGCCAACAAATTTATCTAAAAATTTAAACCCATAACGTAAGATTAATATATACTTAGTAGCGATTGTATGGTTCTTTGGTTTAAAGAAACCAGTTCGCTGCAACTTTTCACCTCGGTATCCCAAACCTTTTTTTTCATTGCTAGTTTGAGCACAGCCTTCTTCCATCTCCACTGAAACAGTTTCGAGACGTCCCAAATTGTGTGGACCAAGACCTAAACCTGGAGACCAACCCCAGCTAAAATAAAAGGTTAAGGTTCGACGCACATAATTACACAAGATGTATAGTAAATATATAACAGAAATTTATGAATAACTAATACATTTATTATTAAAACCTTTTCATGATTTTACTGCCGATTCCCTTTGTATGAGTCTCAAATTGACCAAATCCAATAGATTCAACAGCAGATAGTGGCCTCTCAATGCTTTCGTAATGCCTTTTCTTTGTTTTCTTTTTGAAAACTGAATGTTTAACTTCACCAGATCTGTAAACGATGAAGACAAATAAAGGAACTTTCATTAATTTCACATACTAATCTTTTATTTTTCAAAAGCTCGGATACGGAAAATTTATGAAGACTTTATGAAGAGTAGAGAGAATGAGAAAAATCTATCAATTCTTTCCATTAACATCTTTAAACAGCCTTAACACTGTAAACTTCCATGAGATTTATAGTGTTAAAGAGGAGTTCCTTCCTTTTTATGCAAGGCACAATAACCCCACTAAACGGCAAAGTTTGAAAGTCTTACCAACTGGATGAGCAAGCTCTTATCTCAATCCACTGGTAAGTAGATAGAAGAATAAAGATTAAATAAAAGTTAAATTCTATCGAGACAAAAACAAAAATAGAAATATCTGCAAAATCTGTTTCTCACCTCAGCTTTTGATCCTTCATCATTTCCACTGAATGCTTTGCATCTAAATCACCCTCTTTTCGATCATAATAAATCGAATAATCAACATCCCAATCATCAGCCCACTTCCAATCGTTATCTGTCCCTTCTTCTAATTTTTTCCAAAAAAATGTGTCCGTATACCAAACAAGACCTGGTCCTCCTTTCTCCCATGTCACCTGTAAAAAAGCTGACCTTTCAGTTACAATTTATGGCCTTATTATCAATTTGAACTAGGGATTGGTGAATCTTCACTCAAAATGTGAGCCCATATGTAGCTGCAAAATCCACTGAAAGCTATGCCTCCTGCTCTATCTCATATTTTCTTGGTTTGATACGTTCTTGCTCCGTTACATCGTCGTGAAGAATTTCATGACTGCAACAGATAAAATGTCACTCAAAAGAGCTCGGCAGAAAGAGAATATATGAATTACAATCTTTTAATTAATAAAGAATTAATAGGTTTCAGCTGTGAATCAAAATGCAAACGAATCCTCAAGAATTATAAACTCTAATAAAACAACCATAAGTAAAAGTTAAGCAAAAAACAAAACCAAAAACCATACCGTTCCCACTCTTCATAACTATCACCGTCATACTCTATTTCATCCACATTTCTCAGTCTAAATTTATTGCCAGCTATTTCCTCTGGAGTGCATAAATTGAGGTTCGAATACGAGGATGAAATCTTCTCCTCTAAAGATAGAAACTTCAGACAGCCTAGCCTATTTTGAGAAAACCATGATTTGACAAAATTTTTAAATATTTGAAATAATTACAAACTGATTTCTCTCAAAGCTCCAATCCCTACATTCCTATTTTTATATTTTTAAGCATGCAAAAATAACGAAATAATAAGCTACACCTTCACAATCTATAACAGTAGCTTCTTCACTTCCACTGTATTTAAAACAGACGGCAGCGTACTTGCCTCTTCGTTTTTTTGTCTGGATACCCAATTTTCTAAGAACCATTGGCGGTAATTTACAAAGGCGAATCTAAAATTAATCGGTAAAAAGTCAGACAACATAGATTAAGGAAAGATGATTATATCAGTCAAAGAACCTAACTGCGCAGAAATAGCATTAGACATGTTTAAAAATTTTGTATTAATTATAAAAAACAAGTTTTGGAATGAAATATCTACCTGTTCAAGAAAAAAGCTTGTTGGAGTACCAACGTTTCCAAAAGGCATAAGGCTTGGTGGTTTAAGTTCAATAAAGGAACGAAAATCTAAATTTGGTGATATTCGACAGCTATCACCTAATATCTGGAAACGAAAGTATTAACAAAAACATTACATATAAAAGATCTAAATACTATAGAAAAACTGCAAATCAGTAATCTTAAACTTAATCGAAAAAAAAAAACGAAATAAAAAACGAAATGAACAAATGAATATGATCAAAATTGACAAATAAATGAACAGGTAGGGTGAGATACAAAAATAGACAGACGCAAAGTCAAGACAAAGAAACTAAAGGAATGAAATTAGTAGATAAATTCCTGAACCACGTAAAGAATGAAAGGTTTTAAAGGGCGTGCATTGTGATGCTTGTAGTAAAGACAATATAAAATAAAACTAAATAAAAGCTAACAAACAATAAAAGGCGTACAAAAATGATCTCATTAATAACCTCGCAACTTTTCAGAGGAAAAATGAAACACTTCAACGGCATTTGAAGTCCTTTCTCATCAACCCAGAACTTCAAGTGATAGTGTCTGATGCATGCAGCTCGCTCTTGTTCATTTTTAAATGAAACAACGCAGCAAAAACGTTTATATTCTTCAGAGGTTGTCAAAGTATTCATATCATTATCAGCCTAAAATACAGAATTTGCTTTCTTAATATTCTAAAAAAGCTAAATCACAAAACCTGACAACCAAAATTTATACTAAGTATTCTTTTCAAATCCAACTCACAAGTATTTCGGGTCGATGTCGATAATGGAAACAGTGAAATCGTCCACTTTCGACATAATATGAGAAGAAACACCGCAAATGCCTTGCATGATATGCCTTCGGAATGTTGCGAACAACTGCATAAGCTTCAAATAAATAAATAATGATAATTAATAATAAAAATAAATAATAATAGTAATGCTCTATAATCCTTTTGGCAATTACTACCGGATGAACAAAAGTGAACTGAACCTTTTCCAGACTTAAACACGACTTGCTTTTCATAATGAAAAGCAAGTCGTGTTTAATAATAACAAATAATTAATAATAAAAACTTCATTTTGAAGTCAAAAGACCCTCTCGACTAAACAGCTGCTTCTTGTTTTTTCAAAATTAAAATAAACTGTTGAATAATTTATGATAGAAAACTCTCTGCCAGTTAAATCAAAAACAATGATTGCAAATCTTATTTGTACAGCTTTAAAAGTATGGAAATTTAATGGAGATACTTAATTATAAACAGACAACAACATTGGTTTTCAGTAATTTAAATTGGTTGCATCTTCGCGCAATTATGAAGGTAGGAAGACTATGAGAGATTTTTCCAAGAGTATCAAGAATTTGGCAAGACAATGCAGTTGTCATTTGGAACGAAAAAAGAACTAACCAAAATAGTAATAGGCTAATCCGGCAATGCAGTAAGAGTATGTCCAGTTCTTAAAAAAAAAAAATTACCTTGTACTGGTAGCATAGTTTTTGTCGTCGAAAGTGCAGGATCAGCTTGCACTTTACCTGCCTTATTCATTTTAAATTGCACATGAAAAGTATAATTATATATATATATTATACATTAACTGCAGCTAATGGCATTATGATGGACATTTGTAATCAGCATTCGATCTGATCTTTGAAAATTCTACCATATTTTCCGCATGAGGGAGAGAACATGGATTGGATGTATTGGTTACTGAAACATCTCATGTATTTCTTGTTCTAAACTCACAAGCTACATCAATAAACTAAAACCGACTGACAACAACAGAAAAAACAGAAAAAGTCAAACCCAATTCGAAATGTCCCAATCTACAAACAAAAA